AGGACCAGACAAACCTTAAGCAAGAGCTTTCCGGTACCCAGCACAAAACCGGCATCAGTATTACCAATTCCAGTTGCAAACTGACCAAATGCTCCAGCAGTACATGTGTGTGAGTCTGTACCCAGCAAGATCTAATGACAGGAATAAAAATCCAAGTATTATTCAGGATAATAGTGTGTGAATGATTGTACAGTTCTCTAATTTTGGTAAACAAAAGGTACCTCTCCAGGTCTGCAATGTCCTTCTTGGGCAAGAGCTACATGACATACACCTTTATAATCTGGATTCGCCTATTTATGTCAGCACATCAAGTTTTAATCTCTATTCCACACAAACCCATGTAAGAAAGAAACCTTTAGCATCAAATAGATGGTGTAGCCATACCTTGAAATTCCCGAGGTCTTTAATATCATAGAAATATTTAATATTTTGCTCAGTACAGATATTCCTCAAGATATCCACATTACGATTTGCTCGTTCATCAGTAGTGAAGATATAATGATCTGGTATGATAACAACCTTTTCGCGATCCCAGACCTGTGATAGTGAAAGAGAGAGGCAACAAGTAAATTAGAAAATTGGGTGAGTTATATTTATCATCAGACTAGGGAAAAAGTAATTAACTACTAAACTCTTCAACTACGAACTTATCTTTTACTATTTTTTGAAGGAAGAAGTAAAAGAAAAACATAAGCATAGTTTATTGTGATTGTTTATTGTGTTTGCATAGCTTAAAAGTTTTTGAATTCCTTTCATTATCATTCAAGCATATTTGGAAAAAGGAAATAGCAACAAAATGACACGAGTTAAGATTGCCAAAATGAACAAGAAATCATCTTAAAGAACACGCGAGTGGAAAACAAAGGGGCTTCTACCACTCGTTACCATGACAGAACCATTAATGTAGCCTTCAGACAGGATAAAACCCAAAATTTTGGGTAAATTATTAAAAAATAGCAATTGCTAAAATTGCCTTTAGTGATATGGGGAAAAGGATTCCTTGGATAGCTTAACTTTCAAAGTATTATTAATGCTTCACTCATCTAAAGCGATTATGTGAGATTTTTTCTTCAAAGCCATAATCTCAGTGGAAGTCGTCATGGGACCAGACAGAGGATGGTTTTTTTGGCTGAGCAGACTGAAGATTCAACTGAGAAAATTTCAGAATGAGAATGAAGTAAAAAGCACAGGGCCCATAAGGTCATCAAGAAGAGCAGAAGTTCAGTTGCTCATTCCATTGTACGGATAACCATCGAGTCATAGAGACTACATAAACTTAAAAGGAAGAGAGACCAACTCAAAACAAGAAAATGTTACTGTGCCTTTGATTGTAAAAAATTCCAAAAAATTCTACATTCGGAATAAGCAACTTCCCATTCCAGAAAGAGATCCTTTAGTTCAAATTAAGGAAGATAGCATGGCTGACCCACTAGATAAAAGTTTATCGTGGGACAAGAAGACAATGTTTCAATATTAACAGTCGTTGTTATAAACTACCTCTACACAATGTGTTCAATATTCTAACGTTCAACTAATAATTTATTTTCACCATTGCTAAAAAGCTAACACGGGAAGAGTTCTCAGCTTCGATTGAATCATTTTGATGTTTGGCTCTAGGAATTAGGAAACCTTAGAATCTTCGAATAGAATGAATTGTATCACAGAAAGAGTGTATCCATCCTACAATGTTATGTTTCTATAAATAATCTATCACATCATGTGCCTTGGACATAAGAAATGACGATCGTAATCTACAACAATAGTTGTTTCTAAATCCAAGCTCCAAAATACCCCTAAGATCACAGAATTGTTACAATTTTTTATCAAAATATGATCATTCAACTCATTCACTCCACTGAAACCTGGGAGTCATGCCAACTCATCTAAAATAAAGTTGCAACATCCACAATTCGGATTCAAATCAATTTCTAAGTCTCTTCAATTTCATATACCAACATAATATTCGGTCCATATAACAATGTTCAATCTCAACAATGTCTATCATACCAGAAATCTCCTCTCAACTAGCGCACTGTAACTACTAAAAATTCACACAAGATTTTAAAATATCAAACAAGAGAAAATGTTCTTTAGCATATACCTTTGCATTTTCTCCAAACTCTTTCTTGAAAATTCCAAAAGCACCAGGGCCACAAACATCGTGGGTCATCAAAATATCAACATTCACCCATACATTCTCACCAGGGACCAACTGGGTTTTCTCTGAAGCCCTTGCTAGCATCTTCTCAGTCATGGTCAACCCAGTTTTGACCTGGAAAAATATCCCAAATTTACCAAGATGACACCATTAAAATTCAAAAAAATAAGAAAATCCAGGAGAAAAATCACAAACTTTATCCCAAAAAATGTTCTCACCGAACCAGTAGTGGATGGTTTGCGCTCAGATTGTTGTGGTGCCATCACAGACGCAATTTTCTTGAAGACCCTTTTCTTGGAACTCTGTATATAAAATGAAGGCTGTGAAGAGAAGGCTGAGAAACCCACGTCTTTCTGCAGGAAAACGAAAGGAAAAATTGGAGAAAAAGATTAATTTTTTTAGCATTTTACACAAGAAATACATACATGAATTTATATGCAGACACAAATGGAGATGTTCAAACCTTGATGAGAGGTGAAGAGCTTGGAATGATGGTCGAGGAAGCCATTATAAATTGGATTCTACCAGGGACGGATCCAGGTAAGGGGGCTGAAACTTAAGAAAATCAATATTAAAATTTATATACAATAATAAAAATGAGAGACTTCTTTGTAATCCTATGTTGCCTATCCCATCCTTCATAACTGTGAAGTCAGAATCTTGGATTCAATCTTATTTCAGTCTCTTATTCCATAATCTCATTAACTCCATAAAACAAAGTAGAGAATTCTGAAGCCAAGAATGCTACCAACTGGGAATATTGCAGACTGAGTAAACATCATTTTAACTTGCAAATCATAACGATCATTTATTTTTAAGCACAAAGAGAAAGAATTATTTCGGTGCTACCAAGTAAACAATCCTGGAATTGCAGCATTTGGAGATGATAGGGACTAGGGAGTGGTAAAAGATACAAGGCAATCCAGAATATAAGATGACGCTTATGAGCTTATATTTCAGGAAGCTAAAGCACAATACGCATACTAAACACTGCATTATCAATTATTAGCTATTCAATGGGCATCAATAATCTACCAATATTACAAAGAAAAACCACAAAATCAGGGAAAGAAAATATAGAACTAATTCATTTAATTATACATCAGGAAAATCATGTTCATTACATGTTCCGAACTTGTGATCTCATGTTTTAGTATTGCATATAAAAATGCGATGCCCAAAACTTTTATTGACAAAACACCAAATCCATAAAATAATATATGCAGATGCAGATAGAAAAAAGTCATTACTCGAAACTAAAATCACCACTTTCACTGTCATAGACAATGGCCTCTTTGAATCGTGCATCTTGAGCGCTTCTGACTTTATCATCAAAGTTACATCCCCCTTCAGGGATGCATAATTCCAAAAATATAATATTTATCCTTACAATTAAAAGTAAATTAAGGAATTGGTAAATTGGTAAATTTTTATACGATTTCAGCCCAAAATTCGGCCATCCCCAAATTAGCTCAAACTAATAACATACACCCACCCCCAAATGGCCAAACCAGGTTCCCCATCCCCAAATAGCCAAAAATCAATTCGAGAAACATCAAGCACTTATAAAAGAAGATCAACAAAAACGAGAAAAGGGACTAACCGAATGTGTTTGAACAATGATTGATAGAATCCAATCCAGAGAAAATGAGGAGACCGGAGCTTGAGGTGGAGATGAGTGTCGTGTGGCGGCTAGACTGTTTAGTCTACTTACTGTTAAAAAGCTGATTAAGGGGGTGTTTGTTTTTGGTTTGAAAACTCAAATCAATTCTCATTTTCAACCACATATTTTTCAATAAAATAATATTTTTCATTACATCAATAATTTTTTCTTCTTTTTCAATCATACATTTCTCATCATATCACTATTCAAAAATCAATTATTCCCTAAAAAATTCCTACCAAACAAGCTCTAAGTAAAATAAATGGCTCCTCGTCGTTGGAATATACAATAGGGGGAAATTGCGGCCACAATACCAGACTTTTTACTTTTTGGCAGACTTTGCTTAAACCTTTCATTTGTACCACCCACGGTACCAAACCTTTAAACAATTTGCATCCAAAGCTCAGATTGACAGAAACCGTTAGTAGATCAATAATTAAATGTCTGACAACTTGTTGACCAATTTTCTAAAGGGTAAATATGTAATTTTACATTTTTNNTTTACATTTTTCATATGAAAAAATTAAAATTAAAGAATTAAAAACCCTAAACTACTGTTCATCTCCCCCTCCCCCTCCCTTTCTCTCCACCCCCCGCCTCTGCCATCACCCACCACCACCATTCACCACCACAACCTTCGTCCATCACCCTCCATTCAGGTACCCGATAAAAGCTCCATCTTCAAAATATCGATTCTGAACAAATCTACGCCATCACTCCTATCGTCTTTTAATAAAGGCGCGCCCCAGATGGATACTTCTTCGGCTACATTCGAGGTATCTGAGGGCAATGCCAATGTGAAAACATCGGTGTTAATTGCCTCCTGGACGAAGGTTTTAAATTCTTCTAGTGCTTTACGCGCGAAATCTGAGAAATTTGATAGTTTGTTGCTCTCTTCTTTGAAAGAAACCATTGATTTAGCTGGCGACGAAAATGCTTCGGCTTCCGCAACAAGGGTTTGTTCTTCCTCTGCAACAGGCCTTGTTTTTTGGGTCTAAGAAACCTTATCTTAGAAGAAGCAATGGTGAAAATTTTGATTTTATTTTGAAACCGAACACATGGGAATTACAATTGGATCGATCTGAAATTAGATGACAAAGTCAGAAGAATACGGGAATTGGGTGTGCAAATTGATAATGCAGAAATTGAAGCCATTATTGTACATTATCAACTATCTGTGAGGGGGAGATGGGTGGATGGCATGAGTGTAGAAGAAGATGATCGGGGTTGGGAAGGGGGAGAAGATGAACGGTATCTTAGAGTTTTTTTTAAATTTAATTCTTTAATTTTAATTTTTTTTATATGAAAAATGTAAAGTTACATATTTACCCTTTAGAAATTGATCAACAATTGTTTAGACATTTAATTATTGGTCAACTAACGGTCAAACTAACGGTTTTTGTCAATCTGGACTTCGGGTGCAAATTGTTTAAAGGTTTGATACCTTGGGTGACACAAATGAAAGGTTTAGACAACGTTTGCAAAAAAGTGAAAGACTTGGTACCATGACTACAATTTTCCCTATACAATAATGTGTGTATATATACACACATACCTAAATCATTCATAGCTCTCTAAAAATATTTTGAAAAAATTATATCCAATATTTTACTTTATTTTATATACTTCTTACATATTGAGAGATAATTTTAATTCATATGAATTGAATGTTTCACAAAATTTATAATTCAAAAGTATATAAATAATTAGTGACAAATAACTTTAAAAGATCTTTAATTTATCTAAAAAAAGTTGTATACTTTTTAATTTTTTTTTTTTTTTGGATAATTGCAGCAAAATCCCAAAATCTTTGAAATATTTGCAGACTTTTCTCAAACATTTAATTTGTTACATCCGTCACTCATAACATTTTCAAAATGTTGTAAGTGAAGCCATTTTGGACAGTTTACATTCATAATTATGTCAATTGATCAAAAATTTAACTTTGATCACATTTTTAATATTTTAAATAGGGGCAAAAAAGTTACTTTTCATTTATCACATTAAATAATTAAATAAGAAATAAGAAATAAAACACACACACACACACACAATCGTCTTCTTTTTCTTACGCTTAACCCACCCCCACATCAAACCCATAATCCACACCAACTACCGTCACTGCCACCTCCACCTCCCATTCCAACCCAAATGCCCCATTAGAAGAACATAAAGAAAGATTAATCAAGAATTTTGTTTTAACTTTCCATGAAATGCTTGAACACCTTTGTTGATCTCTGAGAATATATCATCTTCTATTTTTTGTTTTCTTCACTAATTAAAGACTATAACTTAGCCTTTGGGTTTGTGGTCTCAGCCTGGTCTGCATTTCTAGGAATTTTTGGTGAACAATGTTTGTTTGCTTTAGTTTAGAGTTTTGGTTCCTTGGGATGCTTTGAGAATTCTTTGGTACAAAATCTGGGGTTGCCTTTTTTTTTTTGGGAAGGCAGTGCAGTGACTCTTGTGGTTAAAAAACCTGAGCACATGTGTTTGGAGTCTGAAGGAAAGAAGGAGGCCTATGAGTTTGCACGTTATCTATTTTTGTGTTACTTGTATATTCAATCTTGTAATCTATGAAGTTTTAAGGGTAATCCTAATGTCGTTGAGACCAAGTGTCGGCATTACCCATACAAAAGTAGACCTTTCACCTTCCAATTTTGCTTTCGAAAATGGCTAGTTGGCTAGTTCTTCTTCTTCTTCTCTTGTCCAAAGAAACTTACCAAGTGCCCAGAAAATTGAAAATGGAGCGGAATATGCAATTCTATCAGTAACAATGCATAGCAATTGAAAAGTTTTAAAGCAAGAAAATTCTCAAAATTGCTGAAAACTCATATCAAAAATCTGTTCCAACCACCAAAGTNTATTTTGCAAGGTGTGGAACCCTTATTTCGTGCATTCCCCAATCTATTTATAGTTCCTCACATTCATGACCAAGTTGGAGACTCATTCTTGGGCTTGTCTAGCCCAAAAAAAAACAAAACCTAATTTTTACGGCGCAGTGCCTACGAGAGAGGAGGCAGCCTCTAGGCGCCGCGAATTCTTCTCAAGCAGTGCTGGGTAGCGCTAAGGCAGCTCCTAAGTGCTGTAATTCTGTTGATCTTCTGCTGGTGCAGCGCGAAGGGGCGCTGCAATTCTATTCATTTTTTTTTTCTTCAATTGCTTTACATCCCTTTTTTCATCATTTTATCATTTCTTCATCCAAAAATACTAGCAAACACATTAAATTC